GGAAGCTTTGAGGGGCGGGCAAACCGGTTACCTTGAAAAACAGTGAGGTTGCAGAAACGGTGGGGGTTTTGAAGCTTTGAAACGGCAAACAGTGAGCAAGAAGACGCAAACAGGTGGCGACCGCTGGAATTCCTGAATTGAAGGGGTTGTGGCACCCGCTGCTGATGGATGTGTTTGCCGGGTCTCAACTCCTTAAAACGCTTCGAACCCTTTGCAGGGCTCCCCAGACTTTTTTTTTCCGTCCAACGCCTTCATGGCTTCCGTCAGGTCGTTCAACACGTTCAATTGCATGTCGCAAATTGGGCATCAGTTGTCATTAGTTTATTAGGGCATACACATGGCCGTCTGCTGATCGAGTAGTGGTCAGAGTCATACTTTTTTTTGAGTTTGACATGGTCTGTCTGGCTGCGGCTGTGATCTCGGGCTCCTGCACCATTTCTCGGCGGGATTTTCTCTCCGTGCCCAAGGCAAATTAATTGAATTATTAAGTCATGCGTAGGCGTTCCTGTAGAGTGGCTGTAAAAGCAAATTGGTGAGGACCGATACATAGTCCTGTATGCTGTCACGATCACCTAGAACACAAACGAAACAAGTTGTTCTGCCTTACAGTCTTTTGCTGTTTCAAACACTGTTTTTTGCACCACTTTTTTCCCTGCATCGCCATGGAGCTGGTTGTGCATGGTTGATTTACTCTCTGGCGTTTGACCCTCCTCCCTTCGCTCCCTCTCAGCGCATGACGAGACTAGAGTTCAGCCGGACCTACCCTCTATTGTCTCCACTTGGATATGGTTGCCACCGCAACGACGCAAGTACCTGTGCCTCACGACTCGGCGCACTCTGGGCACTCCGCGCACTCCACCAACCTGTCAACCTCAGTCTGCAAGAGGCAGCAAGGCCACAACAAATCAGCAGCTGCTCCGGTTTAGATCTGGCAAACAGCAGTCTTGAACACCACACTTGAACACATTTAAAAATTGGATGCTTTCTCTCTTTTTTGGTTTGCTCCAGATTCCAACTCAGAAGGGCAAAGCGAAGAAACACAATCGACAGAAAGAAGCAAAACCAGGCCGGAGGTTTGCGGGGCTCGCATTGAAGCGGTTTGGACGGTTCGCACTGTCCGCGGGATTTGCGGGTTTGCGGGGTTGGTGGAGTTGGTCGGGGGGTACACCAGCAACATCAGCTACATCAGCTACATCAGCTACATCAAATACAGCAGCAGCAGCAGCAGCATCATCATCATCATCATCAGCATCATCATCATCATCATCATCATCACCATATTCATCATCATCATCATCATCGTCATCGTCATCGTCATCATCATCATCATCATCATCATCATCACCATCACCATCATCATCATCATCATCACCATCATCATCACCATATTCATCATCATCATCATCATCGTCATCATCATCATCATCATCACCATCACCATCATCATCATCATCATCATCTGGATCATCATCATCATCATCAACAACAACATCACAATTCGCCATCATCGTCATCATGGTTCAAGATTATGATCATCATCATGATCCGCATCCTTTAATTACGCCACCTACATCATCCACATCTCCGACATCATTTCCTTTGTTCCTGCTTTGGTACATTGAAACCTTGAGTGCCTGAAACGCTAATAATTGACGTTAAACATGGCCGAACTTCAAATCAGATAGGTTCGAACTTTGATTTAAGGCTTCGAAGCAAGTTCATATGACAAACCCAGTGCTTGTGCAAATGCACATGGAAGTCTATAGTGCGCAGAGAATCGTTTGTGGAAATGCGGGGGGAAAGTTTGTGCGGTAGAAGCCAGCGGCAGTTTGTGTTCAAGTTGAAGCTGGCGGTGTTGTGCTTCTTGTGAAACAGGGTTTTTCGATTTAAAGGATGAATTGTAGCATTGACGAAGACCTTGCGTCAAGATGTGATCTTGCCTTACTGCGATATCGGGAGCAGGTGTGATCAGGCTATCCAAATCCCGTTTTTAAGATGCTAATATCCTGGTTTCAACTGGTGCATTGTTGGCTACTATTGATTAATTAATGTTCTTCTTGTTGCTGCTGCTGCTGCTGCTGCTGGTGCTGGTGCTGGTGCTGTTGCTGTTGCTGTTGCTGTTGGTGTTGTTGTTGTTGTTGTTGTTGTTGTTGTTGTTACTGTTGTTGTTGTTGTCGTTGTCGTTGTCGTTGTCGTTGTCAATTGTCGAAGAGGACCAGATTATGATCATAGAATAACCCAAAAAACAGGTTGGACAATGCTAAGGAACTGCAAAAAACCTTTAGCAGAGAAGCAAGTGCGTGCTTAAGTACAAGATAGTATAAGTGAAGAGCCAAACCGTAGCAGCAAATTATCATGCAAAATGAACTATAACCTGAGGATGAATGTTTCTTATCTCTCTCCAGATCATTTCTGTTAGAGGCCTTTTGTCGCATAGTTCCTAACAGTCCATCTCTCGGGCCCCCCCTTTAATTGATATCTAATCTATAACGTCGAAAATTCTACGTTTTCCACGGGCTGGCCCCCCAATACATGGCAGCCTCTTGTGCAAATGCACAAATGGATAGCTGTATGTTCCAGGTGATTTTCGCTGAACGAAATAAACAAATTTGAAGTTTTCTTTGTGCCACAGCAGCTGTGCGAAAATTTATCAGAACCTTCTCTAGAACCCTGGTGAACCTGACCTGGCTCTGCACAAAGCCTCCCGGAACCTTCTCCGGAACGTTGTCCGGAACCTTCTCCGGAACCTCCCCGGGAACCCTGTTGAACCAAACCTGACTAAACTGGTTCAAACATGGTTCAGATTGGTTCAAACTGGTTCAGACACGGTTCAGGCTGGAGACCTGGCTCTGCACCAAAGCCTTCCGGAACCTTCTCCGGAACCTTCTCCAAACCTTCTCCGGAACCCTGTTGAACTTGACCTGGCCGCACCCAACGTGAGCTGGCTCGGGTGCCGGAAGGTTTCGGAGAAGGTTTCGGAGAAGGGGCTGCGGAGAAAGGTTTCCGGGAGGCTTTTGTGCAGCCAGGTCAGGTTCAGCAGGGTTCCGGAGAAGGTTCCGGAGAAGGTCGGTGCAGAGCCAGATCAGGTTCAACAGGATTTGCAGCCATTTAACTCACGGAAATCCAGCTGAGGTAATTCCAGCGCTTGGCTTGGCAGCACGCTTCAGGCAGATTTGTAAAAATAAAACGTTGCGGCTGTTGGGGATACCACCGAAGCTTATTTTTTTTCCGAGAACGCTGCGTGTTTAACATTTTGACTTCGAAAGGTGCTTCGCACCACAGCGGCGTGCAACTTTGGATCTCTCACGCCGCCAGAAAACTTCGCGCCCACTGCTTTAGTGAACCTATTTTTCGACCCCCTGGCGGCCCACAACACCAGAACCGGAAAACAGCGTCCCGCGATTTTTAATCCTTTTAGCGCGCTTTGATCTTCTTTCTACTCATTTTTTTTCTGATTATTTTTTTTCTGATTTTCCCCAGGCAACCAAAAACCAGGCGACAGCGTGGCCCGAAAGGAAGCAGGCGGGAGGGGACCAGAAATAACAGAAAAGAACATGTGATGATGATGATGATGATGATGATGATGGTGTTGATGATGGTGATGATGAAAGATAAGTGGTGAATGGTGAATGATGGATGATGAATGATGAATGATGAGTGATGAATGATGAAGGGTGAAGGATGAAGGATGAAGGATGCAGGATGAAGGATGAAGGATGGATGGTGAATGACGATGAACATGGTACCGAATGAACACTGATGTAGAAATTAAATATCATCGAAAAACTAGACGTCGAACTTCCGAGTTATTGGACCGACGCAGCAACAAGTGTGGGGAAACTTTTATGTTTTCTTCTCCGCACCCAACATTCAAGCAGCTTTCGTGAGTGCATCGAATGGTGCCAAAAAAAAATCAAACAAAGGATGCATTTTTTTGAAAACGAGACGAAAACATTTTTTCTGAATTCGTTGGCTTGTGAATGTGATATGACATGTGTCTGTGTTGTTGTGCCAGGGGTGTGCGGGATTGGATATGTGTTGCTTCGCTTGACGGTTTGCATGTAACAATGGATGCTGCTGGCTGGAGTAAAATTTCGTTCAAGGGGATCTTCCGCAGCAAGAAACATGCAGGGCAAACAAGTAACACATTCAGCAGAGATTCGGTGATCATGATGGTCGTGCACATTGGTTTGTACAAACATGATGTACTCCGAAATCCAATGGGTTATCAGTCGTTTTTTTAATAAAACGCTCAGACATTTGGCTACGCATTGTTTTCAGACACACCCAAGCGTTTGGCATGCTTGATTTTTGGAGTCTTACGTATTGCCCGTGCACACTTGTCATGTGTTGGCACGCAAGAACATGGTTGAGAAACAATTTATCACAATTTCATTCAATTTAAAACGGATAACAATATTATAAAACCCCAAATAAACAAACAACATTCACACCAGGAACAAATGCGGACTGAACGGAAAATGTCCTTTTCTTCATTCAGAATGCATGTTTGAAACTAATTCTCGAAGACATGCCTTGAATGGGCGCATTGCCAAGCGCCATGAATTGCACGCTGCTTTTCAGTTTCCCAACTGAAATGGTACCATTTTCTGTCTGTGCAAACTGCCGGAACACGTTTATGCCAAATGGAGGCATTGTTGTTTTGACATGTTTTTAATTTTCAGGCATCAAGTAATCCCAAAATTCGCTCCCCGGATTGAACACCCTCTGCTCACCTCCGAGGTTTTTCTGCTGCATTGTCAGCGGCTGTGATTTCAGCGTTCTGAGCTGAGTTGTCAACGGTTTTTTTTGTGAATTTTGAATGGTCTCACCTACCAGTACGAGTTTTGGAGTGTTTCATTTTGTCATACGCCTTGACTTAATCAAACAGTTTCCCGATGTTTGCCTTGATTCACACTAGCCGCAAAAACATTTTTTTGCTGTACCCTACATTGTATCTGCCCAACGTGTTTGAATAGTTGAGGTGGTTGCTGGCCGTCATGCTTCCATTGTACCTATTTGCGGTCGTCCCATCCAGTTGTGATGCAAATTGGGTCACGGCTCATGGGGCATTCGAAGAAAATGCAGGGAAAGTGTTTGAGAGGGACGGGTATACAAACATGCTTGGTGAATTTAACAAAGGCCGAGTGACAACTGCGTCAGTCCTTGAAGGTTTGCCAAAACGAATTTAGGAGATTAGAATTGCAAACCTCGTTTCTTCGAATTTTAGGTAGTCATATGTAATCACATCGAAATATCTTCCCGCTTGTTTGTGGTAGTTTGAGTCATTAAGTTGTAGTTTGCCACCTTTTGCTACGTTTGTTTTATTCCATCCATGGCAAACGAGATGTCAGATTGTGATGCTCATGACGTCCATGACTACCTTCGTGGGCCTGTACATTCCATATCGGTGCACTAGGCACAAATTCGGGACCGTGGAGTAGCCATTTTGACAGGTTTTTCTACGATTGAAATGCTGACGATTTTGGCATGGCTTAAGATTATTGATGCCGAACTTGGGATGGATTAATAATGAATCTACAATAATGATAATTATCCCTACCAAGATCAAAATGAATTAAAGACCAAAAATTTAAGGTAACTTTTCCAAGTGGTTGCTTGTTCAATTGATCTTTCAAAGTCACATTCTCGTAGTCACTTGGTGTTTTTCATGTTTGCCCGGTTGTTTTGGTGGTCTCCAGCCTTTTGGCAGCCTGCAACTGATGCAAGGCCTCTTGATCACGGCATATCACGGCTCATTTGTTCTTACCCTCTGGTAAACATAAGGCTAGCTGGGAAATCCCGTGTAAAGTGGAGGTTTTAATGAGAAAATCATCGACAAATAGTGGATTTTCCAGCAAAGCATGTTTGATCACCGAAGGGTATCATATCCAAATTTGTATATATATATATAAATACATATAAATACGTGTTTACATTCGTATGTATGTATATATATATAATATAGATAACTATAACTAAAACTATAACTATGACTATGACTATTACTACAACAATAACGATAACTACAACTGTAACTACAAGTATAACTACACGTATAACTATAAGTATAACTATACTATAATTATACACATACATATACATATAAACATCAATACATATACATATACATATACATATGCATATGCATATACATATACATATAAATATCAATATAAGTATAAATATGAATATAAATATATATCTAAATATAATTATAAATATAAAAACAAACACATAAACATAAAACATAAATGTAAATATAAAAGTACATATAATATACAAACATACATATACATATGTATATACATATATATATATAAGTATACAAACATACATATACATATGTATATATAAATAACTATATATTTAGATATGAACATAATATTTATATTAAGATTGATATTAATCTTAATACTACTGTTAATATTAATGCAAATGTTAATATTGATATTGATATAAAGATTAGTTTGAATGTCAATGATTATTATATAGATATACATATTGTATTTCTTATATTTATTGTATCCCAACATATCCCACAGGTGTTTTTGCTTATTGAACTCCCCGAGCCACGGTGGAGGCAACGTGTTTGGCTGGTGATGCCAACCACTAATCTTGTGTGGTCCACGCTGTTCTCACTGGTGGCTGGACGCTCAGTTCTTTTGGGGGTTATGGAACTGAGTCAACTACGGTGGGTTTGTCCCAAACTATGGTAAGCCCAAAGGCTAAATTTCTTCATGATCACTTTTCCCAACAAAATTTTGTGATATTTTTGGGGTAGTTCGCTCCATTTCCATGCCTTATTTCCAACCTCGTAGCCCCCTTTATATAAGCCTGGTGGTTGGGCCGTAGGGGTTATATATATATATATATATATCTGCTCAGGTCAATGGATCCATCATAGCCGTGGATTACAGCTTTGAAGAGGATCGCTGCTTGCAAGGGTCATTGCTACGTGGCTACGTGGCTTTTCTACATGACTAATGTGGTGAAACGATTTTTGGATTACCGCCCCAGAGGTTTCATGAAATTGGGGATAGCCCAGTGATTATTGGTGGGATGCTTTGTGGCATTGGTTTACCACAGGCTTTGGTTCAAAGTATGGCTGAAGAATATTGAGAAAACCATATTTCTATTTTGTTGTTTTTGATACGATGGCATCAAACCTTGGATGGTTTAACTTTACCCGGGTCAGATGACCGAGCCATTTCGATGAGGCAGGCACTGGCACTCTCATGTGGAGTCGAAAACAATGCGGGATATCAAAATTGCAGTTATTTTGCATGGAAATATGATGTTCAAAACTATCAAGTTTTTCGGGGTTTCCCATAATTTCAAGGCAAAAACCATATTTCCCACTGCAGATTCCTTTGTCGCAGAGGAGATATACGATGTCATCAACCTCGTTGATCACATGATTCGTCTGGCCGTGGCTTTAGCTGGCCTGGGCATGGTTCATCCCTCAGAACTTTTTTCTGTCAGATTTGACTCATTTTGACTTTTGATTGCCAAAAAAAGGGGCCATTCTGGAGTGCTGAACTTTGGAACTTTGGAACCACCCTGGAGTTTCCCGTTTGCAAATCTTCGGGCAGGGCTTCAGTATGCAGATCTTCTTGGTGCATTACATGTATGTCCAGGAGGCGACTGGTCCAATCTGGCTATTTTTCACACTTGTCGACAGAAACGGCCTTTGAAATGGCAGCTGCGCATGCGTATGCATGAGCAGGGCGCCGCTGTCCGGAGATTTCGACGCTGGGTTGGTGGGCTCAGTGTTGGGAGCTTTCTTGAGTGCTGCAAAAAAAACTGGTAAGGATCAGACTTTGGTGATCAGACAACTCACAGGTGGATCCCTGGAGCAGTGGAGCAGTTCGAAACCGGGAAACCCATTCCTTTCAGACACTGGAGATCTGAACTGCAGATACTTGGAAGGTGATTTGCCCAATGGATGGGTGTTGTTTAAATGGAACATGGATCACCCAGCGCAGCGCGCTGAGTTGTGGATCAAGATGGTTGGAACCCCCGCTGCGCAGCTCATTGAGTGTGAGGACTTGGTCCGGAAGCCCAAAGGACATCTCCAAAACAGATTCCAGTTGGGAATTGAGTTTTCTGTTTTTTTTTGAATTTTGGTGATCTTCTGGTTGAAACCCGCCCATCCCCAAACTAGCTTTCATGGGTCCTGCGTGCGCCCTGATGTAAATCCTGAGGCTGCAGCATGCCCTGGGGAGTGCGCCATCTGCGACTTGGAGAATTTCCACCAAGGGTACACTCCTCCTCTCGGTGTATCACGTGAGCCGTTGCAAACAGATTATGATGTGGGTCGGAATTCAATACGCGGAAGCCATAGAATTTTGGACAAACATGCCGATGATTCCTGCCTTTTGGCAGTCTAATCCTTCTTTTGGTCGGTTTTTCTCATTTTTGGCGGTAAGATCCCAATCTTTAGTGGTTCAATTCCCGAGCTTTTGGTGCTTCAACGGTACGTTTCCTGGGTCCCCAACTCCGACCCAAACTCCGAGGCTTAGAGCCTCTGGTGTGCCTGCCGGAGCGGGCCTAGGGGGTGGTGGCTTGTGGGAGATTTCATCGCAGGATATCCATGGGCAAATTTCATGACATTCACAACTTTAAGGAACCTTGTTCACAGGTTCATAGATTGGCTAACCATTGGTGGATCTATATAGATATATTATGATATATTGAACTAGTTGTTTGGGGGTATAAACCAATCATAACCACACACACACAGGTTTCTTGGCGCATTTCCAGTGGCAGCCGGAGACTCTTGCGGAAGCTCTTCTGACTCATGCACTTTAAGATGCATGGCATACGAGCCTAATCTTCGCAATGGCCGAAGTTGATGCGTGCTCATACGATTAGGAAGCTTGAAAACACACATATGGAATCTGCATGAAGGGGGTTGCTGCAGTTGCTCCTGCATTGCTGTCAAGACCGACACTTTGGAGGGTTTCTGACTCACTTCCGCAGCTCCACCAGAATCCCTATGGATCAGCGAAACAGCGTTTCGAGGAGCACTTGGCCCTAAGCCCGGCTCGCGGTTCAAAGGCGCTTTTTGGAAAGACTTTTGACCCGGGAAACTACAGAGGGACTGGTCATTTCGAGTTTGAAACTATTGGAAATCCTATGAAAATCCCACTTCAGGGGTTCCAAACTCGACCCCATACCCAGTTGAATGATTTCATTTTTTTTTGCACCTTGTGTAGATTGGGGGAACCCAGAAAAGCGTGACTGGATGAGTTGAAGCATCAGGCTTTGAAATCTGGACTCACTTTGGACTGTTGATAAGCTATGACTGAGCCAAGGTTCAGATGGCAGCAATAGTTTTGTAGATTTCATTACAACCCAAACCAGATCAGGAATGAACTCGCCCCGACTTGTCGCAGGTTTCGCGGGAGGTGGGTTTGCAGGGAGACTCAGGATAGTTGCTATCCTCTTCCAGGTCATAAACAACATAATATTTTGATATATAATTTGATGATTATAGATACACATCTATATATTATTATAGATGATACACATCTATATATTATTATAGATGATACACATCGATATATTATTATAGATGATACACATCTATATATTATTATAGATGATGCACATCTATATATTATTATAGATGATACACATCTATATATTATTATAGATGATACACATCTATATATTATTATAGATGATACACATCTATATATTATTATAGATGATACACATCTATATATTATTATAGATGATACACATCTATATTATTATAGATGATACACATCTATATATTATTATAGATGATACACATCTATATATTATTATAGATGATACACATCTATATATTATTATAGATGATACACATCTATATATTATTATAGATGATACACATCTATATATTATTATAGATGATACACATCTATATATTATTATAGATGATACACATCTATATATTATTATAGATGATACACATCTATATATTATTATAGATGATACACATCTATATATTATTATAGATGATAAACATCTATATATTACTATAGATGATACACACATATATATTATTATAGATGATACACATCTATATATTATTATAGATGATACACATCTATATATTATTATAGATGATACACATCTATATATTATTATAGATGATACACATCTATATATTATTATAGATGATACACATCTATGTATTATTACAGATGATACACATCTATGTATTATTACAGATGATACACATCTATATATTATTACAGATGATACACATCTATATATTATTACAGATGATACACATCTATATATTATTATAGATGATACACATCTATATATTATTATAGATGATGCACATTTATATATTATTATAGATGATACACATCTATTTATTATTATAGATGATACACATCTATATATTATTATAGATGATACACATCTATATATTATTATAGATGATACACATCTATATATTATTATAGATGATACACATCTATATATTATTATAGATGATACACATCTATATATTATTATAGATGATACACATCTATATATTATTATAGATGATACACATCTATATATTATTATAGATGATACACATCTATATTATTATAGATGATACACATCTATATATTATTATAGATGATACACATCTATATATTATTATAGATGATACACATCTATATATTATTATAGATGATACACATCTATATATTATTATAGATGATACACATCTATATATTATTATAGATGATACACATATATATATATTATTATAGATGATACACATATATATTATTATAGATGATACACATCTATATATTCTTATAGATGATACACATCTATATATTATTATAGATGATGCACATCTATATATTATTATAGATTATATATTTGATATAGGTTTATATATTTTGCTGCTTCAAAAGGCCGCGACTGTCGTTCAAAAATGGGGTTTCTGCTCGAAAATGGACACGCGCCTTTTAGGTCAAAACTTTCGTATCTCTCCAGCTATCTGAAATCCTCAGGCTAAGACTTCCTTGTGAGCATACCTTTCACGGTTCCTGCGCTGATGGATGGATGATCCGCGAGGCGCCCTGACAGAGATTTTTTCCACTCAAGGCTTCAAGGGGCATCGCTGCCCCTCATTTTCCACCAGCAAGTCCTGCACATATCTCCGAAATGATGGGATCTGAGGTTTGTGACTAGGTTTGACAACCCCAAACGTGGCTTTCAATGGTGTCTGAGGACGGTCATAGCACTGCGGATTTTCCCAGTGCTATTTATGTCCCATTTAGCATACCAGCGCCTCATCACCGTGGTTATAAAAGCGAGTTCCAAAGGGGTACCTCAGTGGCCTTAGCGTGATGATTGGTCAGCCAATCAAGAGGTCTACTGTGACAGGATGGAATCGGTAGACCCCAGCAGTACATTTGTTTTTTTTAAACCACTGTTTTAGTAGGATTTTGCTTCTCCATTTTTTTGGTGGTTGCTATACAGGCTATACAGTACTCTGTTTGAATCAGGTGGAAATGATCCCTGGGAGGGTAAAATGGTAGAGTTTCCCATTCCAGGGTCATTTCCAGTGGAATAACCAAGTGCCATTAGATGTATTGGAAGGAACATTTAAAACCACGTTGAGATGTTCCAAAGATCACAAGAATCTAATTCCTTTCCCCCAATATTGAATGCGCCACAAACGCAACTGTGATTTAGAACTTTATCTGGTCCTTTCGGGGCCCCCAATGACGTTGGATGCACTTCTGGGTACAACCGGTTGAAAACGTATTGGTGCCATTACATCTCATCATGTCAAGTTTATATCCCCATCAAACCCATTGACATATCCTGAACCCATGATGATTTGTTATCCCCATGATATTGCCACTATATTATATATATATAGATATATCAAACCTTCATAAAACCATATAAAGCCACCCAACAATACCAACATATCCAACCAACACATCGAAGTATCCCGCAACTTCAGTTGTAAGCTCCATTTGACCACCGAAAAAACCAGGTCACCTGTCCTTTGTGCCGCGCGCCCATCGGGAGCCTGAAGCGCTGTCAGCGGATCTGTCTCCGAAGAGGAGCCTCCCGTTTTGGGGAAGGCCGGCTGGGCGACTGGGCGACTGGGCCGTGGCTGGGAAGTGGGATCTTTCAGCAACAAATATGGGGGGCTGGGCTGGTCCATATTGGTCCATGATATTTCTGGGCAAATTTCAGTGACTGTACTGGCCGACCTCACCATAGATGATGGTTAGAAGAACGGGGAATCATCCCAAACATGGTGAACTGTTCTGTTTAACTTTTGTGGTCAAATCACAAGGCCGCAAAAGACCTAAACTTGATCAACCTTGAATGATTTTTGAACAGGACACCAAGGTTTTGGACCAAAAAAAAGTACATTTCTACAGATGCCTTCATCCCAGTCATTTTTCTCTCACAGGTGGAGAAACTCCGAGTACCCCTTCTGTGGACGTAGGAGACTTTTTCAGTGTCACTTGGTACGGCGGGATCTGTTGGCATTGCGGTTGCCGTTTGGTGATCATGGCCGTGGTAGATCCCCATTTGGGCAAAGGTCTTCAGGATCTCCCACCCATAGGTATTACAGGGTCCCATTACCTGGATGATGACCCTGTGGGCTGTGTATCACCCAGGATGCAGCAACTCCAACATCCACTTGTTGATGAGCAATGACTCACCTCATATTCCTGTTAGCGGATAGAGATGTCCGGGTCTTCGAGCAGTAAAATGGGTGGATGGCAACAGGGCCGCTTTTTGGTGCGGCCATTTGTATCTCTCTAGTCGACTCCAAAATTGGTGAGCCCATTTGTACCCGCTTTGCTCCCATAAGTTGAGATACAACCCCTGCAATCATCGACGTATGCCTAATAAGTGGAACTGCATCCCCAAGTTTCTGAGGAAAACCGAGATGACTCAATTGCTTATGTGTAGCCAAGCATCCAATCCACCAAGGATTTTGATGATGACCCAGTCATGGATGAGTCCGCGACTCAAGAAATGATGCAAGTTTCGGGAAAGAACATATGTTTGGCATTGTTTGGCATGTTTGCAAGACCGACAAACAACATGTTCATACTTTTTATTGGAGGTGCATATCCAAGCTTATCTCATTAGAACCCGATATGTCTTCGAATACGTAGCAAGAGAAGAAGGGTTGCTAGGAACTCCTGCTTTACTGATTGCTCCTTAGCTAGTGGGGCGGTGAAGCTCCAGACCAAGTCCTCTCATTGATGCTCAAGAACAGCAGGGTTGCCTCTCAGCCATTGCTGGGATACACATTCCAGTAAAAATTGTCTAAAAAAGCCAAGTCCTCAAGGTGCTTTCTAAGAGGTTTCTTTTACCTTCCATCAATTTCCATCCAGATTTTCCAATCGTTGGGTTGCCGCGTTGCCAAACCACCAGGGTTCATCAGCCCCCCACGCTTTGTTTTCAGTCGCCATGTGGCGCCTTGGCGTTTTGCTGGCCACGGGAGCTGCAGCCAGTGGCGGTTGCGAGGCCGATGGCAGTTGTGATGCTGCTGGGATGCTGACGCTGTCGCGGAGGCAGATGCTCCGAGGAGCCTCATCAAGTTGTGGTGTGGCATGGTGTGGCTGAAATCGGGGGACACCCCAAAAGAGTAATTTTTGATAGGGAACATGGTGATTCACCCATCAATGGATCTTGGAGGTACCTCCATTGTATGTTTGTGGAAAGCCTGAAATCAAAAGGTTGGAACGATGCCAGGCGATCTGGGTGTTCCTGTGCATCCCCTGCTTGGAAAAAGAGATCAAAGCGAATCTGACAAATGTGGCAATCCCAAAACCATAAACAATACCCGATGTATATAGCTAAGAATTTACCATTTAAAAACATTTTTGATAAAGGTGTCGATTGCCCCTTCTTGGGTAACACCTTTATCGGGTACGGTCCCAAACTTTTGATGCCACTGAGGTCTGACAAAGGTGGGATAATGATGTATCATATGCCATTGCGCCACATTGGCTGAGACCCAACATCAACGCAGGGATCAGCAACCTGCAGATGAGAACGGGTGGTGATGTGTTTTTTCTTTTCCATTTGAACTTTACGGGTCACAAAGATTGAAAGACCAAGGGACGCACAAGTTTTGGTCATATACACTGTATATACTGGTAATCCATTCCATCTGCGAGTACCAGTTTGTTTTTCCCGACCAATGGCCGTTTGGGATCTTTGTGCCGTTCCAAATTCTCTTGGAACGATGCAGGACATGAGATGACTCGCGCAGGGATCAACTTTACTTGTGGTCACTGGACCACCGAATGATCGGAATGCGGGTAACCAACAGGGGTTACAATACTTGGGGCAAGATTTTGGAATGGTTCATGGTGATTTACCATCTGGCCTGGGTGTGGAATACCCAACTCCTAGATCGGAAACTTGAAGGTTGGGACTGGGAATGTAGATTTGATGAAGCAAAGTAGGGAGAACAAGCTTAATCCAGAGTCCAGATATATGTCCAGATGCTTGCCTTGTTTCATTTCTGCAGGAAGACCCTTTGAACTCATGCTACAAGCATCAGCAGCTACTGCAACTGGTGCCAGCCAATGGAATCCATCATATCACCTGACGGGGGATAGTTTCTTTGTCTCCACATGGCACACGTAACGTGTACATTTCTTAGATTCAGATTCCAGTTTGAAATGCTGACCTCGTGAGACCCCTGACAGTCCATGCGCCCAAGCGGCTTCGTTAGGTGAGAGCTGTGGGATTTTGGGCGGAGTCTGTGTGAATCCGAGCCCCGAGTGCCTCCAGCGACGGGTTTCTACGGAGCGCGGACCTGTGTGCTACTGCGAAGTGGAGCGGCCGCCCAAGTCTTCAGCGCTGCAAAGGACGCGAAGAGGTTGGGTGGTTGGGGACAGGTACACTTTTTGCCCTACCTTCCCTTGCACTTTTTGGTTTTAAGATTGGTTTCTGTTGTTTCAAGTGAGCCGTTTCAAGTCCATTCATCAATCTTCATCCGTTTTCCAGTGCCTCTTCCAGGACAGCGCAGCCATCCCTTCTTCGTGAGTTTCCTTTCATCATGACGCATGATTCGGCCACAGGCATCTAGCTTCAAAAGGCTGGACGTAGCGGTTGGGTCTCTGACCCACACAGGGTGTCTCAATGTGCAGACCGAAAGAGAAGATACCAAGCGAAACTTCTCACCATTCGGAAGTGAGATTTTCTCCAGCATTTTCAGCGATGGAACGAATTTTTTTGATGGATACTCTTCATGAAACGAAGTCTGATTCATCACCAGATCTTTGGAAAAAGTGTGGGTGCCAGCAGAATTGCCAGCCCATGGTTTTTTGATGTTTTTTTGTATTACTGACCTTCAAACTGCCATTGAAACCTGACAGCTTCACTGAGGTTTTATTAGAAAGTTTGATCCTCGATGGCGCATAGGGCAAGCACAGACAACTGACTTTTGCTCAAGTTTTTTTTTCCTAGCTTCCCTGAACTGTGTTGTTTCAAGTTTGATATTATGTTGAGTTGTTCCCCGAGTTGTGGGTTGAAGAATATTGAAGAGCCATTTCGACTTAGTATCTTGTCATAGAATGTTATAGACTCATCCAAGAGTAGATTCCATATCCCAGAAATTCCAGAGGGGTGATTTTTGTATTGGCGATCCAACTTTATGCTACTCGTGGGGCGTAGCTGAGGACCATCAATCTAGTGGAGCAAGTCACTTGTGGTGCACGGGCTTTAGACGCTGGGCATCATAGGATGAAAGAGCTTTAGCGTCAACGACATTTTTTTCTTTCACTATGTACCCTCTGGTGAACTAACATAGCAATGGAAAATGGCTATTTATAATGGATTTTCCCATTAAAAATGGTGATTTTCCATTGCTATGTTAGTTCACCAGAGGGTAAGCCTCAAAAGCATTACTCTAATTTTACTGCCATACTTGGGAACTCTCAGCTGCTGCATTGGTTGGCAGCCGAGGACATTCGGCTGGTGATCAAGGATGGCAAGGAAGAAGAGTTCTTTTTTCATCATGGGGAAGGCATTTTCAGCTGGGTTTCTGGTGAAACACTTCAAGGCTGGGTCAGCAGGTGCTGTGTTGAGCTGTGTTGAGACCCCTCAATTTATGTCATCTTGGTTTGGACTAAATCAGTTTGGAAGATGCTGTAGCCTTTTTGTGGCATTATATGGCTAGAGGGCAATACCTAGCAAGACAACTGAATGGGAAAATACACATTAATTTATCAGTACCATTCGGTTGGCACTCATCATCTTTCAGACCCGTGAAAATAATGTCAGCAGTTCTGAGTTTATGATACTTTATGGGAGTTTCTGCTCTATACACATAATTTTTAGAATATAGTTAAATACATGTGCACCACCGTGACATGATAACTGATAACAGTTCTATGGGCGAGAGAATC